GCGGGCCGCCTCCTGCGACACACACGAGGAGCCCTGCTGGTCCACTGACCCTTCTGACGACGACGACGACGACACCGACCACACGCCGGTCAGTTTACATTTTATATAACGGTTCGTTTATTCTATAACCTCACATTTTTAAATTATTGCCGGCGATCATTTTATAAATGAATATGTAATAAAATAGCTGAATTATGTGCCAGTTGAATGTAATATATAATATGCTATATTAAAAGATTGAAAGCATATTTCAAAAGAGAAGTATGAACTTCGAGTTAATATTTTCAGAATAGCATATGACTACGGAAAATAAATTTGAAATGACATGTATATAATTTCACTTCAATGTTTGTATTTAAGAATGTCATAAATTATACATGTTTTATGTTGGGATAAATATTTCTCTGTAAAACGGTTCAAATTGGATCAATTAGTAATATTGCAAAATTCTCAACAACTTTAAAGCTAAAACAATTTACTTATATTTTCTTTGTAAGTGGGTTTTGGTTTTAAATTCAATTTCAAAGACATTGACTAAAACTACATATTTAAGCTTAGAATAATATTTAACATAAACATATATAAAAAATGTAGATTCGTAGTTTTATTCAATGTCAAAAACATTCCTTGTGATTCAAAATATGTGGTGAAATATGAGTAAACTGATTGTTTTGTCCGTCTATTGTAAATGTACTAACAAAATGATAAGAGTCAAACGTTATGTGCTTATATTGGGAAGGTTTGGTTAATCATGGTCCTCTAATATCTATTAATTTTGGGTTTGCAGTGTTGAGTGAAGTGAATCCCACTTTGTATAATGTAAGTGTAATTTTTGAGAATGCAAAAAAATAGTCACCGGGTAGCGCATGATCTAAGCTGGCAATCTTGATGCACATAACGCTTCCCGGATTAACCTTTAGCAGTGAAAAAAAAACAAAATCTATAAACAAACTTGTTAAAAATGGATTTTCAAAGGACTAGACTAGTGATAGTTTTAGCGTCTTGAATTTCATTAATCTAACGTCACAATCCCACCAAATAGATAAAAAGTTCCTACCGATATAAAATCACGCTATCACTGCATATTTAATTTAGCAAGTCACAAATCATTGCTTTTAATAGTTTCCATAAAAAAAAGCTAATGATATTATTAAAATACTATGACGTAATTCACATGATATTAAGCGTTCGTAAAATGCAACAGCTCCGGACGCCATATTGTCGCGCTTGTGTTCAAAATGGCCGCCATGTTCAAGTTGTGTTGTTCAACAGGTGACGGAGGCCGTGGGTCTCAACGGTACCATACACAGAATGGTACAATTCTTTTCTGTATCGGGCACCACACAAGCCAACTCCACGTTTTACGTGTCCCAGTACTGATATAATGTAATTAGAGAACTCAGTCCTGGCTTTGTATATAATGAAAAGACTGATATAATATCCAAAGCTTAAAAGTAACCAAAGACTTCGAAGTAATGTGGATATTTCAGTTCTATTGCTGAACATTAACTATTGTGTAAGTCATGTTTTGTTTATGTTACTCATTGTTCGTGTGCTTTAAAATTTTGTTGACTGTGCGCTTCGCTTCGATACAAAATATATCATTATTTTTACACTATTACACTGCATTACAAGTATTCCAATTTCTACAGACTTCAGTATTTTTATAAATTATCCTACATTAATGTCTCGCACTGCAGATACTTCTCAACACTTAGGTACAGCTAATCGATGTGCAAAAAATTTGCTTTATTCCTTGATGTTATCATGTAACGGTATTCGATATTTTTGCATGAGTTTTATTGAATATTTCTGATAATTTATAAATCAATAAACACTTTGGTAAATGTTAAATTTATAATTACATATGTCTTTAGAAGGTTCAAATATAAACTGCTAAGAATTGGAGTAAATGGTCAAACTACCGTTATTGATACTATATTTTACTGTACAAACATTTTGGATAAAAATTGCCAAATTTATATTTGTCAACAAATACGATTTACTCTTCTTACATTGTAATTAGGTGGCATTTTATTCTCTTCACTCACTCACTCACTCTTACTATCCTTCTATTATTTATGTATGAAACATCGTACAAATTTATTGGAATTATCATTGTATGCATGGCTAAAAACTCGATTATTCGTTGTTACAATCACTGGAACATTTTCTACATATACACAACTATTAGGACTATGAAATATCTTCGCTATTATTTATAAACTCTGGCATAATACATTAAGCGATAAAAATATTGCCCATTGACTTTTAGAAAAAAAATCGCTCATTTTAGTTTTGTAGAATGTCATGTCATGTGTGACAGAGACACATGGTTATGTGTGACAGAGATAACGCTCTACAAAACTGTTAGTGCAAATAGTATCTTTCCAAATGTCGATGTGCAATGATTGCTGCATACATCATCGATGTGTTTGCGCTGTCTCTAACATGCTTTAACTAACGATGTGGAAGCTTGCATGTAAATGGTGTGCTACGTGTGTTAATACTTAATTTAACAAAATAAACTGGTCTGAAGCTCTAACAATATGCCTACAAATTTTATTACAATTATAGTACAAAATATTTAATATGTATATCTAACGTTAAATGAAATCGTGTGAAATTTTTGTGTGAGTTTCTAACAAATTAAACACCGTTAAAACACTTTTTTAAGATTTAAGATTAACTGTTGCTTACGTGTATTTCGGGTTTTCAAGCAACTTAAAACTAATTTGTAGTTTTTTCCAGTGGAGTGTCTTGATTAAAATTCATATTAAAATAAAGAATATTTTTAAATATTGATTATTTAACGATTGATATCACTAAATAATGATTTCAATGTGTAATGATTGTGTATGGTCAGGCGGTGGGGTGCTTGCTGGTGGCGTTATCGGAGTACAGTGCGGTGGGCGCGAGCGAGGTATCGCTGCGCGAGGGCCAGCACGCCGAGCTGCTCAAGGTCGGCTGCGCCGGCTGGTGGTACGTGCGACTTGCGGGTACGTCATACTTTCTCTCTTATCCACCATGTCTTGAGGTCGCTTAATATAGTCGACGGTCTTGAACGTTTGGTATTGCAACATACTTGAATATCTGATAATTGACTGACCCTTAATGAAAGTTAGATATATTCGATGTTTACTCTCGCTGCCTCCAACGAGTAAAATAAATAAGTAAAGGAATGTCCAAGTGTAAAAAACATTGTGTTTGGTATATATAGGCGGGCAGGGCGAGGGCTGGGCCCCCGCCGCGTACCTGGATCAGCGCAAGACGTCGCGCTCGTCCAGTCGCTCACACGACCGCCTGCACGACCACTAGCTCACGTCATTCGCGCTCGTGTCGCTCACGTCACGTCGCCGTATCGTGCTGTACAACAACTTGATTTAGATGTACTTTTTCGATTCAAAATTGTTATACTTTAGTTCGATGTTTGTTTGTATTATAATTGTTGATTCGTTTGAAATTTGTTTCTTAATTCAAAACTTATTGAAATTTTTAAATGATTGTTGTTAAATATTTGGATATACCGTACTTATATTCGAAATTTGGATGTACGTTTTATAAATATCTTGTTTTTTTCTGAACCACATGGAATATACAGTTTCTTAGACGTAATAAAAGCCCTGCCACCCCACTTGTTATTGTTAATGTCGAACTATTTACAGTAAAACAATATCATTGTTAATGTATGTAAATGTTCTGATGAAGCTTTATTGTAAAGTAGTGTTAGATTTAGTCCGTTAACGTTACGATTATTCAAATCCAAAGCTATATTTAGTGGCATAGGAGTTGTTAAACAGCCGTAATGGATTCATGTTTCTTTTTCATGTAAATATTTCTCGTCTTTAATTAATTCTAGTTATTTATTTGGAAGCTAGTTGATTTTTAACTCTTTATTATAAGTTCTCCATGACAGATCCGCATGTTTCGTTGTCTATGAACACTTTGTTTTTTTTTCTATTGGTGTATTGAATGTGCCTGTATACTCTGTGGTAAGCAAATCATGAATCGTATCAAATAATTCTTCATATCAAATCATATTTATTATATTTGTGAGAGCTTTGTCTATTAACTAAATGTTTTCTTATTATAAATAAACAAAAATTAGTATGATTGTGAACAAAAAATATAAATAATCAATTGTTTGCGTGATGTCAAACACATATTCTCTAATGCTAAGTATTAATTCTATACTAGTCGGTGTGATTTATTTTACATCTTTGTAACTTTTATTTGTAGTTTTGTACCTTAAATCGTAGCACTTTAGCATGCGATCGCCGCCTTTCATTGTCAACTTACTTATCTATATTATTTGATCATCAAATGCTTATCATCCACTGACATCTATACGTGGACAGGCTATAAACCGTGGTATATTGTGCCTATTTGATTCGCCATTTTGACGTTTTAGATTGCGGTTGGTAGAGGCGAAGATTCGTACTAAAACGGCCTATCCATAGATAGAGATCAGTGTTATCGTCTCATCGTACCTGTCTTTGTAAAAAAAAAAAGAAATTTATATCAAAATGTTTCATACAAAAAATGTCGTCAAAAGTCACCAGTCAGACTGACTGGAATTACACAGATGTCCCATTCTTATTGTGTTTTATTTTACCTCACCTCATCCACCATTTATTTTTCGTTCTTACTTTGAATTATCGTATATCTTTATGACTTAATTTCATATCTGTAAACTTGCTTCCCAGAAATAACCGAGAAAGGGAAAGTGATTTAGTATTTGGCTGTCTTTGTCTTTTTATTTTAAAATTAACGGCTGTTGTAATGATTATTTGGTGTAAACCTTAGATTTTTTAACAATAGAATATTTATAGCTTACAATTAGAACTACTATTAAATTAATCTCCTTTAAATGGAATAAGCTTTCTAGAGGTAATGTAATATTAGTGTTACCTTGCGAAAAATTTGATTAAAAAAGTCATATTTATATGCAGAATAGATCCTGTAGGAAATTATAAAGAAATAATGATGTAAGAAACATTAGCAACAATAGCAATTATATCGCACAAAATAAAAAAAAAAAATATGTTTCAGTAGTAAATTGGATGAAAAATATTTGTAGCTGTATTAAAATTTAAAAATATATGTACTTAAGTAATATAAACATTAATCAGTAATATACATAATATAAATATACATAGAAAAATCTCCAAACAACTATTATTGAAAAGTTCAAATTATGATAGAGGGCTGTGAAATTCTTAGTGATGTATTTTATAGTACATATATTTAAACGTTTTTGACCCATAAATTATTATGTAACTTAACTACAACAGGCAGCCCTACTGTTACTCTTAAAGCGAGTATAAAAAAGCATTTTTTTGTAACAGAACAACCTGACATGCTTTGGAAACTGCTATTACCTGCATGTTACTGTCCGTAAGAACAAAGAACGTTACGTTACATAGAAATGCAAGACAAAAAAATTCTCTAGTACCACCTTTACATTGAATATTTACATAGTACACTTATAAATATATAGTTATCTCTGTTTTTAAGAGAAATTGAGGTATGATAGTATGTTTCTGTGCTTTTAGAGTTAATACCCTCAGTAATAATTAAATTGATTGATATAGCACTTCGTTTAGGGTTGCCAAATACACTTAATTTACATATGTTATATAATTCAAAAGAATTTGTACTAGTTTTTTAAACAGGAATATGGGGAGGTTAGCAATAGATTCGTAGTATTTATTCACCTATTATAGGCCCTTATGTCTGAAATATGATCTTACCTAAGCGTCTATTACCGAAGAAAATAATTTACACAAGATTACCAAATGATTCCTTATGAAGAGAGCTTATTTTATAGAAATCATTCTGCCATATATTTTTTATTTTCCTTAGAATTGGCAACCCTGTTTTCTTTAATGTTTAGTATGTAAAAAAAAACATAGACCACTCGTGTTAATAACTAGATAAATAATAATAATCAAAGGAATGTTTAGAATCTTTAGCAAAGGTTACTGGATGTGTATTTGTCTGATATTTCTTCAAGTGGTTTCAACAAGATAGGCATCTGCTTTGAAAAATTGTGTATAAAGTTTTATTGAATGATGTGTATGAATTTGCCTTATTCGAGCTTAAATTGGATACCCGCTCTACAACCTGTGTCCTTGTTCTATGTGCTCTTGACCTATTATAAATACATTAAATAATATTCATGTTTTATTTACCTCACATCCTATTCTGGTTATTTTGTAATAATATTAAATAACAGACAAATAATATTAAATAAATAACAAGCCATTTCGGAGGAGTATGGGAACGAGAATTTTATATATATAAGATTATTCATATATTGTTTGTGAATTAAAAGACAAGTTGATTGATCGCATTGTACTGTATTTATGTAAGAAATAGTTGTCTATAAAATAGTTATAATTATTACAGAGTTGTATATAAGTCTGAAAATACTATAACACAATAAACCCAACCGCATTGTGAAAATTAAGATTTGTACAAAACTTTTTCACTTAATGATATTCTCAGAGAGCTGCTCGCTCCCTGCTAAAGATACGGCTCTTGAAGATGTTATCAATTCTACTAAACACTTCTTCAGCTGGTCTTGCAGCATCTACTCTCCAGTGGAGACCTTTCCGCATGTAGTAGTCTACAAGAGGCACGGTCTGAGCATGATATGTTGCTAGACGTTTCTTCAAAGCATCCACATTGTCATCTGAACGTCTAATCAGCGGTTCCCCTGTAACATCATCAGTCATAGCTTTTCTCGGAGGATGGAATTCTTCATGGTAACTGCGACCACTTGATGGATGAATCAATCTTCCCGTGATCCGACGAACAAGAAGACTATCCTGAATGCCAAACTCAATCACAGCATCAAGTTGAGTTTTTCTTTTGCTCAACAGATCATCTAGCTGAAAAGAAATAAAATTAAATTCACCAAAATAAAATACAACAAACAATGAGTATGAATATCTGTGGGAATTAGCACGACATTTCCCAATATAATTTATATCTATGCTTGTGATAAAGCTAAAAATTTATGAATTATTTAGTAAGAAAGCTTAACTATGTTACTAACTACTAATTAAATGTTTATTTACTATGGTGCAGGTATGAGAACATTGAAAGTTGCTTTAACAAGTACAGCAATGTTCTTAAATTGTGATGATTTGTTCACTTATTTTCATAATTAACTACTGTTACCTTCTCAGCTTGTGGCACAGTTCTAGGGAAGCCATCAAGTAGGAATCCATTTTTGCATTCAGGGTGATCCAGATTCTTATCAATCATGTCAACAACCATCTCATCAGACACAAGTTTTCCCTCGTCCATCACTTTCTTTAAACGCCGGCCGAGTTCTGACCCCGATGATACCTCAGCCCGTAACATGTCACCAGTTGATAAGTGACATACACAATATTTTTCTTTTAGCCGGGGTGCCTGTAAATTTATTTTTATGCCTATAATAAACACTTCCAAATTTTAATGTGTAATTTCATGTTGACATACAGTACAGAAGTATTGTATGATTGTAAAGAAAAAGACAGCTTACAGAAAATTTGTGGATTTAAAAATAAAAAAAATTATAGTCAATAACTGTAAGTCAAAACTTTTGTATTTTGACAATTTATGTAAGGTTCAAGGTTTTATAGTCCAAAGAAAACGGCAGTTGGTTAATGAGAATGAAAAAAGTAATTTCTAATAATACAGTTCTTATTAAAAAAGTCTGTCTCATAGGTTTTGATTACATTTGTGTAATTAAACATTTAAAATTAAAAAAGTATAGCTGCAAATATGTTATGTCACCCTTGTTTACATAATTTGGAGATATCAAACTTAAAACACAATTATCTAGGAGTTACATAATTACCAAAGGTAAATATCAAATTAATGTAACATATTTGCCTTGAAACTTAAAAAGTTGCTCTTCATCAATCAAAAGTAATCATCTAAATTATTTTTTACTACTATTTACAGATTAAGGTTAAACTTTACCTGGGTTCCTTTGCCTGATCCCGGTGGTCCCAAAAGAACTGCCCTAATACCGATGGGGTCATCATCAGGTTGAGGTTTAACTGCAGTAGCCGCTGGAGGCATGGCAAACACTACTCTATAATTAACCAACAAAAAGAAAACTACACAATTATTTATTTCATAGAACTACTATATATACAAAACTAATAATGTTACTAGTTGTTACAATGTAACAGTGACATGTGGTAGTTACACGAAATCGCAAAGATTGCCGGCGTCCCTCGACCCTTATCAACACTGACAGCAGAGTGACAGCTGAATGTCGTGTCGGTCAAAAAATGTCAATGTCTTAATGTAAAAACATTTTTCACACAGATTATAATTATTTCAAATAGATTCTAACCAAAATTACTATTTTAATTTTGAAGCATTCTTTTTGTTCTTAATTAAATGCGTAAAATAGACCCTTAAGTTTGATTGACAAATTCAAAAACTGTCATAAACTGGAATTGAATACAGTTACAGTTGTCAAATGTCAAACTGTATTTGTAATTGTAACCTAAAAATGAGGCGGTAAATAACATCAAATAGAAGTTACAGACGACGCCTTTACTTTTTAAATGAATTATGGCGACAAGTAATACAAGGTATGCGCTGTTATTTGGCATGCATTTTTATATTTCCCTTACCATGATTTAGTAATTTGTTATAATACGTTTTAGCTACTGGAAGCGGTTATGGCGTTGGACCACATCCCAATATCTTACAAAAGAAGAAATCGACAAAATATACACAAAAGAAGTGGTGGAAGGACTTAAGAATGGTCTGACTAGCTATAAACCAAAAGATGCAGATGGATTTGCACGTCTCCAATCGAAGCATCCGGACCAAACAAAACTACTTAGTGTTGCACAAACTTTACAAAACTATATGGTAAATTAATAACTAATGATTAAAAATTACCCACTAGAAAAAAGCTTCCAAAAATGTTTTCCGTGTCTTTTAATTCTAATGTGTGTAAGATGCCTCTAATCATTGTGAATTTTGTATTTTATACAATTTACATTTAATTACAAAATAAACACTTAAATACTACATAAATATTTAAACACGTCTATTTAAAAAAATGTTATTTATTTTGTCCTTTGGTTTTTAGGATGTAGACTGTTTCCAAATATGGGATATAATAAAGCACTACTTATGTGACATATCATATGGGACACCAGAGAATGCATTAAAAAATGTGGCATTTGTTGACACCAGACCAACATTTCTCTCACCAAAAGTGTGGGAATTTTATTATGCAGAGAGATTGTATCTACTAAGACTATTACAATACATAATTCAATTTAGATCAGATAAGAAGCATAAATATAATGAGCAATTTTCTAAAATTGTCAATGATATTGGTATACAAAATTTAAAATCTTCATTAATCAAGCAGTTTGAAAAAGTATTACTAGAGGTTCCACCATCAAGGAAAATTCATGGTGAATTTGGAAGTGATACTATTCGACAAGAATGGGCAGAATCAAACATCAGAGAACAACTTGCTATTTTACAATCTTTGTTGTTAATTGGCAATGAAGAAGTATACTCAGAGGTTCAGTTTATTGATATATTAAAGTTGTTCAGAAGACATAATTTTGGTAAGAATCAAAATTATCATGAGTTACTGGAAGGAAGGTGTAGAGAGGCTTGTCTTAGAATTACTTACTTGGAAGCTTGTATATTTATGGTAATATGTGATCATGAAAAGATGTAAGTATTGTCTTAATATATTTATGTTTTCAGTAATTAATTATGTGAATAAAATTAGCTGTCGCCCATGACAAAAACTTAGTTAGTGGCCGATGTGTTCTTTCAGATAAAGTCCAATATGTAAGTCAAATTTCATTGAGTCTGTTTAACCATTCTGGTGATATCTTGAAACAAACATCCATACATCCATCTATCTAAACATTCACTTTTACAATTAGTAAAATTAAGACAGGTCTTTAAGGGTTCATCTATTCCATAAATGGTTGTTTAAGGAATGTTTAAAAACATATTTTATAAAAGTGACACTAGTATTTAGTTGCTTTTATAATCTTTTTTGAGATAAATTTTAAAGATAATTATTCTTTTCAGAAAAAATGTATCTAGCTGGCTAGAAAGTACAAAAAGTGCTGTGGAATGTGAGCTGACCAAACTTGAACTGTCTCAGGAACATAGTATTATGCTCCTTACTTGGATGATGTTGACTCTAAAGGTACAAATTATGATATATAAACCTATACAATTAAAACAATTACATCTCTTAGAGTCGTAGATACAGTCAAATGTGAATAAGAGAGAATATTCTGTAAACAAGGAATATTACAGGTTCTTGGACTCTTATTTATCCAGGTTCAACTGTATTTAACTCTTTTGGTGGCATGTTATAATATGATTTATTTTATAATTTTCAGAGTGACAACCATGCCAAATTGTTTGAGACTCAATACCAACATTATGGTGCAACAGCACTCAGAATGAGAGTATTTGAGTTTTTACTGCAGATGTTGAATAGTTCTGTGTTTAATGTAAGTAAATTTTACACTCAAAATTTTTGTTTCTATGTGGAATTTATTTTAATATTACGATTGATGATGATTTTAGCTTACTATGGTTATTTTCAGTTCAAGTTCAGTTATTAATATCCTCAATACTTTTCAGGATAAATCAAAATGTGCCGAAATAGTTAGAAACCGTGTATTTAGACTATTAAACAGTCTTTGTGATAAATTTGACAGTGATGGTACATTAAGTATGCAGCCTGGTGTTATGCTGCTATGTTCAGAGTTACTAAAGTCATCAGTTAATGCTGAAGAGTTTTGGAAGTTGCGTCAGAAAGACGAAGACTTTGGAGTTGTCTCATTGTGGAACACAGCTTTAGAATATTTCCCGTTCAATTTCAATGCATTGTCAATTTTATCTGATGGATTGGCTCAAGCTGGGAACTTGAGTATTAGAAATGTAAGTATTGTTACTTAGTAGGCAAAGCCTCTTCTATTAAGTCACAAAAAATACTTATTTACTCTAGCATAGTTGTTCTAATTATTATTAACAACTAGCTGTTGCCCATGACTCTGTCCATGCAGAAATAAAATAAAAATTGAATTGGTGGCCTATGTGTTTTTCCCTGGTTCTAAAGTTACCTTCAAAATAACATCCATCCATCCAAACATTTGCATTTATAATATAAGGAAGATATATTGTTATTTACAAAATACAATTTAAATCATATGTTAAACATTTCTAATTCTAAATTCAAATTAAGAACCAATTTTTTTTTTTTTAAATAAGTATCTGATCATATTTTCAGTTGCTAGCTGAACTCAAGAACCTGCCAGTATATACAGAGATTTATAATCCAAATGCAGTACCTATTATGTCATTCCAAGACGACGATGCTATTATTGGCCGTGAATATTATCCACTCGGAGATCCTTCTTATCGCATTGAGTTGGGTTCGAAAGCATGCGTAATGGAAAGGAAAGAGGGAACCATGATACATTTTAGAACCCCATGCTCATATTGGGTTGTATTTAATAATGAAATTGAAAAAGTATTGGATCGTAAACAGCACCACCAACATAATAGTAATGTATCGTTGGAGAGAGTGTACGAAGGTACAAAAGTATTAAAAGGTGTATTGAAATATATCGTAGAAACAAATGAGATCCCAAAGATTCTTGTAAGTTCTATTGAAGGCGTGTTTGATGTTTTACTGAGGTTCATGAGAGCTGAACAACCACCTCTGCCATTGTTAGTTGAATGCCTTAATGTATGTACTGTGTTAATTAAACTGTTTCCTAAGGATATACATAAAAGGTATGTTTAATAATACAATGACATCATTATTTTTCTAAACAATATTTGTTATTTTTACCCAACACTATGTATCTAAGGGTGTTTCTTTTTTTGTGGTTTTTTTTTCCGAGGTATCGGTAATTTTTTTTGTTACAGATTAATAAACACTGGCTTACTCCCAAGAGTGATAAACCACCAGTTATCTCATGTAGAGTATGCTAATGGTGCATCTTTAGATTCGGCTGCTGTTGGTTCCTATTTGGTTATATTAGAACAACCAAGTGGCTCATATAAATTCTTAGCAGCTTATATTGATATGCTCAGTGAATTCCTTGAGGTAAGTTATGAACAAAACAATATTTATTTCAAATCATCGATAGCAGATTCAATATAAAATTTATATTAAAAAAAAATACTGAGACAAAAAATTTAAATAGGATCTATGATGTCACAAAATGACAATAATCCACACCTTTCTTTTTGAAACATGCTGTATATAATACTCGTACAAAATCATAACTTGTTAACATTTCAGTTCTCATCGGACGAGCGTATAACATCAGAGATAATTCTGGCTGGTCTGATGCTGATCCTGCGCGAGGTGTTCCCCAACATCTGCGGGTGGCGCTACAGCTGCGGGGCGGAGCGCCGCACTCTGCTGCAGCGCTGCACCAAGTTCCTCACATCCATACTGGAAATATCAAAAACAAACAAAACAATGACACTTGTGAAGAAAACTTGTATCTACAGTTTTCTGTACATGGAAAATGCTTTGGAAGTTTTGAAGATTATTTCAATTGGTATGTTTTTGGAGAAAATTTGCATTTTTAATTTTTACATCAAAAAAGAAGTTATGTTATATTGAAGTAAGTTTGTAGAATGATAAATATTTTAGCTTAGTATTGAACAAATTCGGTAATTTTTATGCTCTACATTGTATAGCCGTCAGAGATAAAAACAAACTTAATAAGTAGCCTATGTGTTCTTCCAGTCTGTGTTTTACATCAGTACCAAATTTCATCAAGATCCATTGAGCTGTTCTGTATATACCTTCTAACAAACATCCATGTACATTTTTGCATTTATGAATGAGATGATTTTCTTTATATAAAGGCAATGATCAACTAGAACGAAGTCTACGTGACGATACAAACTGGATCTCAGGCATGGGATCACAATACATATCATCAATGCTGAAGTGCTTTGCTATCGTCATGTTCTCACTGCGTCAGAAGAGCAGTGTGGTGGAGGTTGGTGAGGTGACACCTCTGGAGAAGCTCATCTTCGCACAGAACAAACAGAAAGATAAATTAAAAGTCGTGCCAAAGATAGCTAGCTATATCAACCATGCATTCAATAAGAGTCTCTCGGTGCTGAGTTGCAGGATGTTGAAGAAATTTGCCGACGTATGTTTTTGACTTATTAGTTCTAAAAAAACTATGGTCACACATCACTATGGCTATCTGTCATTTTTATGTATGATGAATTCTTAAAACTCTTCATTTATTTGTATATGGCTTTAAATTGAACACAATCTATTTTCTTATTGGTTTTTAGTACAATTTTTTTTTCAGGGTTTCCAAATGTCTTTGTTCGCCTCATTAGACATGACCGCTTACCAAGTACGAGTCATATTCTTGGACCGTCTTCGTGATCCTTACGAAACCATTGAACTGAAAAAGGCTATATTGGAGTTTGTGGCCACTTGCATTGGCACACAGCCGGGCCTCACCGAGGCATTTTTCATGATGAACCACGAGAAGGCAAAGGCAGATGAGAAAGATAAAGAAAAAAATGGCGAAGAAAATAATGAAGATGACGAAAGTTTTGAGGGAATGTTAGGGTTTATGGCTGACTATCTTCTCACTGTAAAAACGGTAAAGATTTTTAATTTTTCCAACTGTATCCATTACCCTATTAAATAAGTATGTAATTTAAAAGTAAATTTCTTTATTGCAGGACGCAAAATTACTGCACAGCCCAATATTAGCGTGCATATTGGAACTTTTCCATGCGCTATGGAAAAACAATATGCAAATACTAGTGAAAAAGCTAAGGGAAAATCCCAATTTCTGGGAATATATGACTAGTCCTTTATTCAGCGAAATTCAACCCGGCCTGAAAACATATAGTCAAATATTTAACATCCTCGGAATAGAGCTGTTCGTTTCAAGAGGAAAACTTGAACAGAATTTGAAAACGGTGCTCGAACAATTCTTCGATACGAACAAGAATCATTTAGATAAATGGATAGATTTTATTTTTTCTTTTTACGGTAGAGTCGAGGAGGATGAGATCGTGGACCAAGTACCCGTTTGGTTAAGCTTGTTGACTTCCTGGAAGGACTTCATGACAATTATATGCAAATGCCTTCCGATAAGCCTGAATATCGCTCACAAAGCTAAAATGGTCGCGCCCTGCATGAACGCGTTGCTAACTGAATTGGAAAACTTAAAAGATGGTCGCCTCGTTGTGATACTAGCGGAACTCCACGTCATATTACTGGCCAACTGGAAAGACGATTGTTTCGAAAATCGAAAATCTAGTGCGAAACAAATCGATAATCTACTTTCAAACACTGCGGCCGTCTACGAGTGCCTCCATATACGTGCAATACGTGCCATACTGTCTATCGGCACCGTCGCCATTAGCAGCTTGGACTACGAAATCAAAGCAAACAGCGTGACAGCTCAAAGTATTATACGATCTGTGACGCATATAAATAGTATCGAATTGGAGAAATTAATAGATAACGTAAGCGATAACACCGAACCGGTACACAATGCAAATGGTAAAGAGGAAGTGCCGCCCGTGGTTCTATCTCTGGCGATGTTGGAGCAGTGTTTGGATTTGTACGATTTGTACTCGGGCCTGTCGCAGTGGTTCCAGTCGACCAAGTTTATCAATAAACTGCTGTGCTGCTTGCAAACCTGTTTGCAGAATCGTCGTCATTATTACACGTCACTGGCGGCGCTGCGATGTCTGACCGCGTACGCACGGGGGCCGTTCAACAAGGACCTGCTGATGAGCGACGTCGATCAGTTCCTTTGGTTGCAACTGCTGCCGCCCAAGTTTGAAAACGGGAACACTTCATGGAAACCGCAGGAATGGTGGCGGGTGTACGCTTACAGTCTCGATTTTATCTCAATGATGGTGATGAAGCACGGTCAGTTCTTCGTCAGCGATGCGATAACTTTCGTCGGCGTACATCTGGAGCACTTGGTGGAGGCGGTCCTGCTGCCGCGACAAGTGTACAACATCGACGCGCTCAATCTGTGCGCCTCCACTCTGAATCTAGTAGTGCAGTTGGTTAAATATGAATCTACTTGGCGTCTACAGAATATTAATTCATTGATCGGGATTATGGTAAGTTTACAATTATCTATTTTTTTATTAAAGGTAAGGCATGCAAGTCTATCAAATAGCAACAGTATGTAATGTTATGTTACAGCGCAGTATCAGTGCCTGCGTGTACCAGTGCGTGACGCTGATGCTGCGGACGCGGCGCGCCTCAGACGCAGCGCAGCCACCGGACGAGCAGGCCACCAGCATCGCCCAAACGGCGCACACGCAGCCCGTCTTACATAGGTCAGGACAAATCAGCCAAACAGACAAATTAAGAGGCATCCAAAACAAACAAATGGCGTGTGGATGCATAGTTATACCACTTTTTTTTTTGACAGAACCCTCGAAATCCTCCACATGGCGACCCTATGTCTCCTAGCCTTCAGTCCGGACCTGCTGTCGCTGTTAGCGGACCCCGGGCTCGACCTGGAACGTTGGCAGCCCCTTGTCGAGTTGCACTTCGGCGCCCCTAAGATCTCATACGATCCCTTCCCGCAGTTGACTTTCGGGACCATTCTATCTGCGATATGTCTACTAACTCGCTCATTAAATCATGTAAGTAATGCCCTGTTAATTGTTTATTTTCATAGATTCGTGTAGTTAATGTGGTATGTTGTCAGGCGTACCACGGCGAGGAGGGCAGCGGGTCCCGGTCTCCGCGCGGGCGTCGGCGCACCTGCTCGTGCAGCCCGGGCGAGCGTCGCACTGCGCGCGCTGACTCCGTGACGTCAGCCTCCTCCGCCGCCAGCGCACCGCCACACCTCGACGAGCGCCTCGCCGCCGCCGCGCTGGAGGCCGCCACCGCGCTACTCGCCTCACAGGTAATCACTACCCTCAATCACATAACTAGGTATTGCATCTTCAGACTGAAGATATAAATTTTGATTAAGTACAATTGTTTAATGAAACCTTTTTGTTTGCAGGCTTTATTAGCAGTACGGGATATTAGCGTTCCATCTCGCCACAAACAATTAGTACGGCGCGAGCTGGCATCCGAATTGACGATGTTCCACGACTTTGTGCGTAAGCGCATATTGTGTGCGGCGCACACGCGGCCGCATCTCGTACGCAATAAGCTGGGAGCTTGGCCGCTGCCGCCCGACGACGAAGAAGTCAGGAGAATCGAGGAAGCGAGGAAGGAAAGAAATCTGTGTGATGAAGATGATAGTTCCCTGCCCCCGCCGCCCCCACCGAAGCGAGCCTCACACGACTCTATGCGCGAATATATTTTACGGAAACACTATTTAGACAAATGTGCTAGAACTCCAACAAAGGAACCTCCTTCTCCCGTTTCGCATTCGACTCCTACCTCAGACAAAAAGAAGGATAATTCCCGGACTTCAAAGCGCGTCTCCTGGGCGGACTCGACCAGAGATAGCGCGGAAAGTCTGGATGATTCATTGCAAGAAGTGGAACAAATGTATTCCAATTTAACTGATGTGCAGATAAACAATGAGGAGGATTATTTTCATTTTATGTCAGTTGTTTTTCTTTATATATGTCAAACTGATTTGTAAGGATAATAAAATTTTTGAATGAGCTTTGTAAAATGTTGTTTTAATGGAAAAATATATATCTGTTCATTTAATTTAAGCTGTATACATATTAACATAATTGGATTGACGGTATGTATGTACGAAACAAAAATATTAAATTTTTAAATATTTTTAAAGTATTCAGACTTGAAAATTCTTAAGAAATCTAAGATAGAAAAAAATAATAACAGTAGCAAAAATAGTATCGATATGTCCCATCTCTATTCGAGTTTACCAAATCAAACAGGCACAGAAAAACGGTCAGTTATATCCAGGTTGTCATGAGAGTGCACAGAGTATATAAAATGTTGAGGTTAGTGGTCCTTTCATTTTGGAGGATTTTGCAGGTTTTACATATTTTCTTTTCTGACGAACTAAACGCGAAACGTTATCTCTTAACGGCCTAGAAACTCTTGCCGCGCTAGGATATCTATATAGTTATTAATAAAATTAGTATTTGCTTATAATATCAAAAAAATGTAATTTATTTGCGTTGCTGATAACAGAAAAACATTTTTTTTATTTTTGACTGTGCACACGGCCGCATTTGTTATAATATGCGGAACGGCTGAATTGATTTTAACGGGACTTGGACGAGAAGGTAGCCAAGGCACATGGACATAGTATAGACTACTTTTTTTAATCCTGTGCAGACAAAGTCGCGGGCGACCGCTAGTAGTAAAAAAGAAACAGTAAGTATTTCGAATTTAGAAATGGCATCACTCTATTGTTGTTAAAAATTTACTGGCATCTGGCAACATTTCTAACATGGCCGCATGTTGAACGAAACGATTTTCTTTACTGTTTGCCAAATAAAATAATATCGGCTTTTTGAGGGCGGATTTATGTTTAACTTATAGCCGAAAAGACTGAAATTGTTTTTAACCAAACAACGGTAAGATTGTTGTGTGATTTTGTGTTTGAGCATGATTCAATGTGTAGCGGTATTTGTTGATCTCGTTTGTTTTTGATGAAGATTGATTCGCGATGATGCATCACCCGAACATGCATCATCAGCCGATGTCGGGCCACCCACCACAGCACCTTGCGGGCCACCAAGCGATGCCCTCGCATCACCAAATGCCGCCCCATCAAATGCACAGGGAGAACAGGCACGTAACTTTAACTAGGTAACGTTATGCTTTTTCTATTTTATTTGCTACTTATTGTATTAGATAACAATTATCAGCACCTAAAACCTCCATAAACCATTTACTTCAAACTTAAAATATTTATGAGTTTTCAACTTGTTGTTTTAACTGTGTCAACATAACTAGTCAACTATTCATTTGAGGAAGGAACTTACATTTTTACCGTAAGTATTTAGTCCTTTAAAGTGCATTAAATTACTTATCTCAACAACATAAAACTTTCAACAATTTATAGAAAATGCACATTGCACAGCTTCTTATAATTCGAACTTTCACCATTTTATTCATGTCAAATTAATGTTTTGCTATTTTTATATGTTTTAATTAGACTAGTGAAATCACTATAAATAGCTACAGTTATGGTGATTATGGTAAAGCTTGTATTTTGTGGTTTGGCAGTGAATCAAAAGCTAATTTATAGTAGCAGTAGTTATATATAGCATTCAATGTTTATTAGTTTCATATTGACTAATTTCTATGTTATTTTACAAAATATATATTTAAACATATTATTATAAAAAAAAACATAAAAAACAGTGTTTTAGATATGATGTAGTAAGATAAAATTAGGTTTATTTCAATTGAATCATGTTAAAATATAAATAAATAGCAATTACTTTGAATAAAATCAACTTCATACAATTATTTTTGCAATCAACCTCCAGCAGAATAGACCTGGCATTGAGTATTATTAAACCGAGGTCAGTAAAATCAATTTTTACTGAGCTCCATATAGGAAAACTTGCAAAGTTTTTAAATATGGAATATCAGATTAAATTTGAATTAGAACTATTTAGTAAAACTTAATGCTTGGTTGGTGAAAGTAAAAATAAATAAAAATTTATTTTAAGAATTAATTTACATGGCAATATAAAATTAATAATTTTATCTAATTGGAAAGTATTAATGACTTAAATGATAGAATTAATTTATAGATTCAAACTAGTGTATAAAATGGTGTTAAGAATTATTGCCAATAAGAAAATTTCCAAACAAATTTGTGTGTAATAAAGTTTTTTAACTGTACTTATTTAAAAAAAATAAGTTTAAGCTTGTATGGCTAGTATTTGTTTAACTTTTATTTTGATAACTTGAGAATATCATTTAGAAACCTGACATCTAATATAAAACTAAACATAAAACAAGAACAAGATAAGTTTTAACATGTTGCCACCGACTAACCTGGTAAGTTCATTTTCATATGTAAAATATTGAGGTATATATTTGGGTTGTCCATTGCATAGTTTAGAAATGTAGGTCAATTGCCTGTCTTTTAAATTAATTTTTAATGATTATTTTCTATGAAATGTTAAATAAATCTAGTTTATTCGTATTGAGGTTTAATGTAATGTATTTTTCTTACCAATTTAAAATATTTCTTAATATTTTTACAATAAGATCATATTACACTTCTTATAAGAAATAATACCAGGTACACCAGAGTAACCACTCTTGACACTATAAAATAATACAGTTATGTTTTATTTGGGATTTAAGCAGACTACATTGATATGCAAATGTTGTGTAATTTGTTGATATCTCGAGGGTCCTTTGCGGCGCCCTTTGTGATATAAACTGGTCATGAATGGAACATATGACAGGCTTTGATACAAGAAGGTCTTATAATGACCATCCTTACTTTGTACTGAATACTTGCAGTCTGTATCCTCTATCGTCCAGTAGCAGTTGTAATAACAGTTATGCTGTGTCTTATATTCAAAAGAATATTGTTAACAATTTTATATATTTGTGAAATTGTGTGCATTTAAAAATGTTTAAATACAGTGACTTGTATAGTGAATTAAAAATATATAATTTAGTGTTATAAATTTGAATGATTTTTTTGTATTTTGCAATAAAGGTAATTGTGTTGCAATTATAGTCCATAAAATTTTGTCTAAAAATAAGGTTTATCACCTTTTTGTTGAAACATTTTACGAACTTTCTCACCTTAAGTAATGAAGCATTTTGTAGATTAATTGCACAGTACAGCATATTTTATTACCAGTGCTTTTTGTAGTGTTTGAATTCAACTATCATGTAAATCAAAGCATACACCTTGGTTTCATTTCATTTAAAATTTTAAGGGTAATTTAGGTTTTCAATTAAGTATAGTGTTGTTTTTTGCTTGTAGGATGGCGATGGGTCCATCGGGTGCGCACGGACAGTCGCTGGGCGGACTGGGCGCGCTCGGCGTGCACCAACACCACGCGCCGCCGCGCGCGCAGCACGCTCAGCACGCGCAACACAATATTCGCGCCATGTCCCACCATCCGCCAGCACAACACCACCCCATACAGCCGGTATAACCTAATTCTACTTTTACATTGTTCATGGAGAGATTCCTCCAATCATGAGATATTTATTTCGGCATAGCTTAACATGTCATATTAGATTTTGAATGCCAGTTTACACTTTAAATCTAAAGCTTATAGGCAAACACTAGCATAAGTGCGACAAAACAGTACAGTTAACATGTCAATTATTATTATTAACTTGATTATGTCTAAAACAGTTGTGCAAAACCTAACATGTGAAATTTATAAAAAGATACTTTATTTACTAATCAATAATAAAAGTTGGTTTTTTTATTAGATAAAGCAATTGCGGCGTCCGTACGGTGTGAGCAGCGGCAACGCGCATCCGTACGGTCCGAGCGGCGTGATGCCGCAGTACCCGGGCCCGCAGCCGCACCAGCCGCCCTCCACGCAGCCAGCACACAACACGCATACAGGTAACGAACAACTACAGATAATACAAGCAATTATTGTAGGTTTTAAATATAGAAGAAAAAGAAAATAAAAATTATTCTGGCCACAAACATGGCTACATCTATGTTGAGCTATGTTAAAACAATCCAAATATTGCAAAGAGTTCCATCTCTTAAGGGATCTTGCAAGAGAACTGTTTGCCTCGAATGGGTCGAAATAAAATAATGTAGGTACAGTGTTAGTTCTAATTTATGATTTCTTTTTTCTAATTTGTTTAAAATCAGTATAATTATTTAATACTCATATATAAAAGACGTAATGAAAAATAAATTAATAGAATTAATTGTTTAACTTGTATGTCAGGTCTGTGCCGACCTTCTTCGCCTCTGATGGGTCAGGCTAAACTAAGTAATTTTGGCCAGTTTGATTCAAATACCACAAAAGGTATGTTTTGTGAGAATTATTGAGTGTTTTTATGAAAAAGGCTATGTTATTGTAGATATAAATTATTTTAGGAAAGTAACTGACAATATGTTACTTTCCTGTTCACTTGAAGTAAGCCTTGTTTTATTTTTCTGCTTAATGTATATTTTATTAAAGAGTCAGTATATTCAGTTGATAGAATTGAAAGAAAAAGCTTGAATTTTTTTGCTTTATGATGTTGCTTACGAAAATGTACATGATGCTACTCATTGTTTTCTATTTCTTGCAATGTATTTGGCTATAGAATTTTAATTAATTACACTGCTGAATACTCATTAATATACAAAAATAAGATTTATTTTAAAAACTAAATATTTTACATATACAATTACTAATTTTTATTTAAGTCTTATTTTTCTTAGACTCTGCTATTATATATTTACAAATTCAATATGTTAGGTAATAAAATTTGTCTAAAGTCTAATCGTTTAATTTTTCCCTAAGTAAATAATAATGTTTAGATAATGTCTGGTATAATAATATAAATAGTGGTGACAGTGGCGTCTGCTAGCACAAACCCGGCCGCGCACGCCGGCAGCACAGCACGGGAAGGTGAGGAAGGTGCGGCAAAGGCGCCCGAGACGGAGGCGGGTGACATCC